GGAGCCTACCCGGCCCACCCCGCCCCGGCCCACGGCTGCGGCTGACCTGGATCCTCCGAGCGCTTGCCGGCCCGCAGAGATCTGCCTTCGTCTTCGGCTGGTTTTGGGAGCGCGAGGAGCGCTCTCCTCGCAGCCCCTCTCTCCGGACCCCGATGGCTCGGATGGGGCTTGCGAGTACCGCTGGACGCTGGTGGGGACTAGCTCTCAGCTTGACCGCATTCTTCCTTCCAGGTAAGAGCGTTCCGCCTTTGCCTTTTCATTTTATTTTATTTTATTTTTCCATCCAATGCCTCCCCCGGGCTAGGAGCTGAATGGCGGGCACGTCTGGGTTGTAGGGAGTGAAAAGAGCCAGAAAAGTTGGGTCACGGCTTAAGGAAGGGGGTGTGGGAGGTGGCACAGCGGAGAAAGATTGAGAAGCTGAACAGCCTGCCCTGCAGGGAAGCAATCTGATGCACGTCTCTGTGTAGCAAGAGAGCACTTTCTCCGCTCAGTTTTTCACAAAAATAATAATATGTAATAGCGTTCTATTTATTTAATAACCAGCTCTCAACTGAGGAAGCAGTTTGGAAACACTGCATGTTACATAAATGTAGAATAATCACCGTAATCACCGTCTCGGGGAATGAGACAACAGCTTCAGGGGGAGGGCGTCAGTCTTGGAACTGGTGGGCTGTGGGTTTGGAGAATGGCAGGGGGACTTTGTTTCTCAGGCCCTTTTGCCAGGCGGCTTCGGGCGTCGGGCCCCTCCCATACCATGTCGCTTCAAAGCAGGCGCGCAAAGCCCGCTCCTGCGGCAGAGGCGGCTCGGCTCGTCGCTCACCTGAGGTTCCTTTCCCAGAGGGTGAGGCCCCGCCGGCGCGGGAGCGCTACCTCCCTACCTCGGCGGGGCCGGGCTTCTCGGAACTCTGCTCCCAGTTTGGGGACTCTCTCCCGAGAAGACGCCGCTGGCTTCATGCCAGCCAGGTGACTGCATGACCCACTTTCCCGAGGGCGCCCTTCCTCGAAATGCCAGCGGCCAAGGGGTTAACCTGACACCCGGCCCCTGGGGTGGCCCGCAGTGGCCCCTGTGAGGGTGGGATGGGGACGGAGGCTGGGGCTGGCCCAGGCGTATTGTGCTGGGGAATGAACTGGAAAATGCGTTTAGGAGGCAAATCCGACCGAGTCCCCTTGCCTGGATTTAACCCTTTGTGTCCCTGGGCAAGCTGCCTGGCTCCCACGGTGGCTGATTTCATGGTGGCTGGTGACACCATCGCAGGTCGGGGTGGGAGCGGGGTTCCTCCAGCCCTCCGGTAAGAAACCTGAGACCACCTCCCGCTCTAGCTAGGTAAGGGTTTGCGTTGGGGGCCGGGAGGGGGAGGGAAGCTTGGCTGGAGCACGTGGCCGTGGCCTTAGGGTGAAAGAATAAGGAGTCAGAGTAGAGACCTGCTCCGCATGGGGCAAGAATATTAGATCCACGGCGCTGCTGGCAGAGATCCGATGGTGATGCCTGTGATGCTGCAGGCTCCCTGGGCAGTTTGTTCCAAGGGGCCAGCTTGGTTGTCGAGTTGCAGGACTAGGGTGCACTCCTGGAAGGCAAGAATCTGTCCTCATTCACATCTAAACCCTGTCTGCCGCCAGGGTTCCGCAAATCTCGGGGAGTGGCCAAGGGTATGGAAAGCACTTTATGGGAAGCCTGCACCGTGGTGCCCCCACCCCTGCAGCCTGTGGGGTGCTGCCCTGCTAGATGTGTGGGGGAGGGGGGAAATTTCAGGGTATACAGTCCTCACTGCCCATTTCAAAGAGGCTTGACTGAGTCCTTCTCTGGCTAGATGGTCATGGTAAAATCGACAGGTCTAGCACACTGGACCTCCTGGGAAGCCAACTGGGAAATACTTCTGATGTGGGTGGGGGAGGAGGTCAGCTTCTGGGAACCTTCCAAATCTATATTGCCCACAACCAGAAACCAGCTAAAGGAGAGCTCTCCTGGAGCTCTAGTTGGTCCAGCACATTAGGGGTTAAACTAATCCTGGGTCAGACAAAGTGGGGGAAGGTTTCAGGGAGGGGAAACAACTCACCCCCATTCTCGCTTCTTTTGGTTATTCTTTTCTCCCAGATTTGAGATACGTAGTGGTTAATTCCTGCTTTGGGGGCTGGAGGCCTTCCCTGCTCCACCCAACTCAGAAAGTAGGGGCAAGGAGGTGACAATCTCACCTGGCTCAAGTGTGGACACTCCCACTCATAAAAATCCAAATGGAGGGGGTGAGATGCTGAGAAGGATCCACAGTTCAAAAAGGCACTTAATAAGTGCTACCTGGCTCCTTGATTGATCATAATTGTTATGGCTGGGTAGCATCAGGGACTTCCAGAGTTCCTGGGCCCACCAAGCTCCTGCACCCAGTAACTGTGCCCCTTGGTGCCTCTGAAGGAGACAGGTAGATATGGTGGTGCCATCTGACACTTGGACAGAGGCTGGTAAGCCCAGAGTTGCCCCCACCCCCACCACCACCAGCAGCCTCCCTCCTGATTGCCTGCTGCTACTTCCCTCAGGGGACTTGCCAGGCTGATGCTCTTTTCTGGGTTCTCCTGGGCTGTGGCAGGGAGCATGGAGGGGTGAGGAGAAGAGCCTGCAGTGGGGAAAGGGGATTACAGGGGTCTGGAAGCCCCTGATGTATGTGATCGCCTGGACTTCAAAATACTCCTAATCTGGCCATTGAAGTATAAACACAAAAGTATGTTTTCAACAACACGGACTTTACCAGACAGGATGGTGAAGACTCACAGGCCTCCGAGATGACAATCTCCCTCCTGTTAGCTCAGAGGAGAGGACCAGTGAGGCATAGGGGCTACATGCCACAGAGGGACAGGAGGAGCCCAGGGAGGAGGCAGAAAACCTGCCTTAGAAGCAGGTGCACTGAGTTGGTGTCCCACCTACACCACACCCTCCCTAATTGGCTTCCCCAAACCTTTTGTCTGGAAAGAGAACACACACTCCAGAAGAGCTGTTTGGTCAAAGCACACCCCTTCTCTGCAACCTTTGGTGGCTTCCTTCGAAACTCAAAGTGTCAGGGCAGTTGGCTTATTTTCCTCTCCCCACTTCTCACAGACAGTTGTGTGCTCAGTCTTGCTCTGCAGGATGTTATGGCAAAAACAATTCTGCTGGCCTGGGGTTTGCAGCATGTATAAATGGGATTCTCAGTGCCTGTTTCAGAGTCAATGCTGCGGAGTGTCTCAGAATCAGATTCAAGGCCTAATAGTCAAGGCTAGAAGGGATGAGGAGATACTACAGAGCCTGGACCCAGTGCCCCTATCCGAGTGGCCTAAAAGACATCTCTGAGCCTCGAAAGTAGCATAATCTGGGCTTATGGAACAGGTAGCCCCTTCTTGCATGATGCTGGCTGAGACTCTGATATCACTTCCCTTCTTGACCACTCAGCTTTGTACAGTGAACACAGTTTGTTGGCCACTGTCTGCCCCAGGACTGTGTTGTATGTTGCCAGGATGGTTACGCAGGCCAGAACCCTCATGCTGATGGCTGAGTAAGTGGGTCAGGCTGAGGGGCAGAGGGTCAGCCGCAGTTGCTATGTTTATGATTCTGCCATTGTTTAGCAACTAACTAATGTTCATTGTTCATCACAAACAGAAAACACTCGAGGGATGTGTTAATGTACCTTCATTTTTTTCTGATTCTTTCCTGGTTAACCTGGTAAATCGAATGGCTCCTACAGTGGGGATGGGGGGGCGGTGGGGAAGGACAGAGAGGGTGTCTGTTGTGTTCACCTGTTTTGCTGATTTTTTTTTTTTTAACTTTGAATGTTAGCAAGTGTGTCAGGCTAGAACGGACACTAATCAGCTGTGGGGATTAGGCTATAATGTTTCCAACAGTCTCTGTATAGTCTCACCTTCAGTATAGAGTGGGTGCACGCACCCACGTGCAAGGCTTTGTTTGCTTGTGTTATCGATACATCATTATGTACGTGCAGGCCCATGGGGACTAGGACAAGGAGGTATATGCACTGTTCACTGTGGGTCACCATGGGACTGGGGCCATAAATATATATCAAATGTATGTTCTCATAACCAAATTCCTGTGTCTTTCCAACTAGGATTTTTTAAGTGGCTCTGAG